AATTATATACTTCTCGTGTTTACACATAAGTCCAAAAATCTCACCATATACAACATTGAAGCAGGACAATCTCACAATATTCCAAAAAGGGAAGATTTCTTCCCTTTAGTTTTTTTCCCATAGAACCTCATATGTATGGATCTATCTTATGCATATAACTGTTTTCATTTTAGGTGGAAAATTTAAGAGGAATCTAAATTTGAACAATTTTTCCCAGCTTATCCTGGGTTTCCTGCTCCCTGGGGTTGGAAGCGATGTTCCCGCAGGGGTGCAGGTCCTCTCAGTGCTCTCCTCCCTCATCTTCCTGCTCCCTGCACTCCAGGGCCTGAGCCCGGCCCTGTGCAGGAGGCCGTGGTGCTGGCTGGGCTCAGCGCTCCCTCTCTCCTGTTCCTGACACCCTGCACTGGAGTCAGAGGTCCTTTGTGCTTGCCGTTTCCCTGTGAGCACCTAGGGGCTGGCTCTGTTGCCTCAGGCACAGGTCAGGGAGCTGGTCGGTAGTGCTCACATTACTAACTTATGTTGAGCCTTTCTCTACTGCCGGTTTCTCCTCACATCCCATGTCCTCTGGCTTGACCCCACAGAATGATTTGAATGAGTTTCAATAAAATCAAATGTAGGCAATCTATATTTAGCAAAATATAATCAACTTTCAGCAACCTTTTGTGTTTCAAAGTATGCGTACAAGCAGGAATACAAAGAGCATGTGAAGGCTGATATCTTCTCATAGGGCTTAAAGCCAATAAACAAAGGAAAGGGAACTTATTGGTTTGTTGGCCAATTAGCACAAATTCATGTTTCTTTCATCATTCCCACTCTTTTCCTTAACTAGCCGTGGCTGATTACCTCTATTTCCACATACTTCCTATTCTTTCATTAGCAATTCCATTACCTTTACTGAAAATCTTGAAATTTGCACAGACACTCAGCTCCTTAAGAGCTCCATTAGAGATTTAAGAAAAATATAAAATTTAAGAAGAATATAACTTATAAATTGAAGATTGTTGCTATACTTCGGGTATGGAATGTTCTCCACAAGTCTCTGTGTTGGGCTCCAGGTTGGTAGAAACATGAATGTGGGGGCTACTTGGAACTTTTAGGTCATGGAGGGGAACTTCATAGAGATTGCGGGAGGCAGTGTGTGTTTTTTCTTTCATGCCTTTGCTGTGAGGTGAACATGCTGTTCTCTATATGCCCCTGGCTGTGCTGTCCACTCCACAGGCACCAAAGTAAGGGGTCTGCCTGACTATGGACTGAAGCACCCCTACTGTGAGACAGAATAAATCTTTCTTCTCTATTAGTTGGTTATCTCAAGTAGCTTTTAACAGTGATAGAAAACTGACAGAATTGGAACAAAATTCTCTATGTCCTCTAAACTTTCGCAATGATTCTATATTCTTCAGTGTTGCTAGTGGCAAATGCTTACATATATTAAGGTCAAAATTACAACAGTATTTTAAAATCTGTGTTTTATGTATTTGATACAGGGTCTCAGCAGGCAGCTTGGACTCCTTGTGCTCCACCTGTTTTCAGCCTCCTCAGCACCACCATGCCTGGTCTGGGCGGCCGGCTCAGGGCGGCCCAGGGTGGAGCCTCCGCAGCGTGTGGCGCCAGGGATTGAACCCTGGTCCCTGTGCTTGCCTAGGCAGGTGCTTGGTCCTTTGAGTGATCTAGCAGGCCCTAAAATCTCTTTTTGAGCTTTCTCAGTACAATTAAATGTAAAATTGAGACCACTAAAACTATATATATGCATACATATGTATGATGTCTAAGATGTACTAGATTAGTTTGTGTTTAAGACTTAAAAAATATTACAGTCAAACACACATTGCCATTAGTTCCCTCAAAATATTCCCACTTGCGTTGAATGCGCTTATCTGATCCTCTTGCCCCTTCCTGAATAGCTCTGGAAGTTATTTTTTGTATCTGCAGTTGCACTGTTTTGGCTCCTTATTCAATTAAAAAAATCACGTTTCCTCTTCCTTTTGATTTTGGGGAAGAGATAGAAGCCATGTGAATCCAGACCTATTGAGGAGATGAGGAGGCACCACGATGCATGAGTCTGCTCTGCTTTGCTTTGGATGCTTATTCTGCTGAGCCATCTCGCCAACCCTGAGCCCGCTTTCCACTGGATGCTGCAGCACACTTGGAAGCAGCTGTATTTTTAAAAAATCATACCTGCTGCAGACAGTGAAAGAACTCTCCAGAGCTGCTACAGAGCATGAGAAGTACATTGTATTTGAAAGGTACATTTTACGTGAACACAAGGATCCCATTCATCACAGTGAATGTGTGGTACCTGTTCCTGGCGCATCTCACTTCTTTTTCCCGTTCTGTTCCCTTCCCTTCCACATCTCTTTCCCTCCATATCTACAAAAGCTTTGGTTTCCATTTTTTCCTTCTATTTTTTTCTTTTTTTCCCTTCTTCCCCTCACTCCCTACCTTATTACCCTTAGTGTAGGGGCCGCACATGTTTAAACATCACATTGCTTTTGTGGTGGCCAAAACCAAGAGTATAAATAAGGGTCCAAATGAATAGCAGATCTGTTGAAATTATGATTATTTCTAATGCATTTTATATAGGATCTCACTATGCAGCTTGGACTCAGTGATCCTCCTGATTTCTGCCTCCCTAGTGCTGGGATTACAGGCATGCGCCACCACGCCCAGACTCCGTCACTGGCCGGGGGCGGGCCTGGTGTGGCATGAGGTGCCAGGGATCGAACCCTGGTCCCTGTGCTTACCTAAGCAAGCACTGCTGAGCTACATCGCCAGCCCAACGTTTTTCAAAAGATGTGGATTTTTGAAATGAGAAATTGAGATACAGACTGTGAGCCTGTATCACTATTTTATTTTAATCTCTTTCCACCTGCTAGGCAGCCTCCCATTCCTTAAAACCCCAAATCCTGGCATCAACTGCAAGGCTGTTTCCACAGGACATCCGGTCTAATCTTTACCCCTAGTCTTTATTCCTTTCCACCCCATTTCTGGGCTTCAATACCCTGTTGTCTGCTGAGCCTTTTGCACACGCATCACCTTTACCTTTGCCACAAAGTTAGGCCTGGACCACACTGCTCAGGCTCCCTGGAAGGGGACTTTCCTCATCCATCCCACAGTCATTCCTGAGTCCCTCCCTGGCACCCTGCTGTCATTTACATCTCTTTGCTGTTCTCTGTGAAAAGACTTCCACTCTTCCACCATCTCCCATCTTGCATGATTCCCCTGTTTGGACTCTGTCCCTCCTGCACCCTTTACCAGTGTAAGCTCCTAGCTGTCAGCTTCTCCTCTACTCTGGGTTTGCAGGGGCAGCACAGACATGACAGGGGCAAAGGAGGGAGCCTGGATGAGAGGATCCATCGCAGGCCATGTTGAAGTTCTGTGGGCCTAGGAAGAGGGCAGGCAGGGATGTGGGCAGGGTCTCAAGCCGCTGCTGCTCAGGGCATGGTTGAGGGTAAGTCCAGTGCAGCCCTTGGACCTGAGACAGAGCCAGCAGGGAGGGGCAGCTGGGGGAAGCAGGTCTGGGAGGAGCAGTGTCCCAGCCCAGTGCCTTTCCAGGCTTGGGAGGCACCAGCCTGGGTACTGTCGTGTGCATGGTAGGCAGCGTCCTCCTGGGAGGAGGTCTGTGATCCGGTCACTCCTGTCCTACAGCACGTTACTTGGAATACTTGAAATCAGAGTGTCTCTTCTCCAATGGTACTGAGCGGGTAAGGTTTCTGGAGAAATACATCCACAACCAGGAGGAGAATGTGCGCTTCGACAGGATGTGAGTGAGTACCGAGCGGTGACCAAGCTGGGGCTGCCTGAAACCAAGTCCTGGAACAGCCAGAAGGACCTGCTGGAGCAGAAGCGCGCCCAGGTGGACAATTACTGCAGACACAACTACGGAGTTATGGAGAAGTTCACCATGCAGAGGACAGGTGAGTGTGGGCCTGGGGAGGGAGGGAGGGAGGGAGGGGCATGGAGAGAGGGAGGAAGGAAGAAAAGTGACAGAGGGAGATGGAGGGAGGGAGGAGGAGAGGGACAGGCTGGGAGTGAGGGAGGGTGATGGCAGAGGCCGGGGAGGTGAAGGAGAGAGGAAGAGGGTGAGGAAGAGAGAGGGGAAGAAAGGGAGAGAAAGGGCTGGAAGGAGAGAAGGGAGAAAGGGTAGGGGCAGTAAAGGGGAGAGAAAGGGAGAGAGAAAAGAGGAGGAACAATGAGAGGAAGAGGGAGAGGGAGAGGTTCTGTGTCCTTAGAGCATGGAGCTGTGAGCAAACAGAAGTTATGAGGGGACATGTGAGAATCGATGGTCCTTGAAGAAAATTTTGCCTCTATGGAACTCTCTCTCTCTCTCTCTCTCTCTCTCTCTCTCTCTCTCTCTCTCTCTCTGTGTGTGTGTTTGAGAGACAGGGATAAACAGAGAGACAGAGACAAAGTAGGGAGAGTACTGGGAGAGGGAGGGAGGAAGGGAGGGAGGGAGAGAGAGAGAGAGAGAGAGAGAGAGAGAGAGAGAGAGAAGCACTGTGCTTGTCCTGTGCTCATGAGGCCGACCCTAAACAGAACACGGGTAGGGCTGTGAGCAAGGAAGAGGCTCAGAGAGGTGGGGAAGGTGGGGAAACGCAGATGGTGAAGGGAGCAGGGATTGGGGTGAAGGCCAAGACATGCTAGGGAGAGGGGAACCCTGGGCATCTCGGCTGTGCTGGGGGTGCAGGAGGATACGGGCTTCACGGCTGGAGGCCTTGGGGAGGCTGCTTCCTCACAGCCCTTGGCCTGCAGGCTTCTTTGCGGTGAAGCCCAGGAGACACAAGTGCTCCATGTGTGCACCACGTTGCAGGGAGCAGAGGTGTCAGAGTAAGGTGGTGGGAGGACAGGGACAGGCACCCGGGGCCTTTTCCAAGGTTGCTTTTAGGCCTCAATTTCCTGCTCTTTCTGGCTGGTTAGTTTGCCTGCCTGGTGCACATACCTTTAGGTGGTAGGAGAGAGGGTCGAAGTGGCCTTGGCTTCTAGTTGTGCTACTTGACATATTACTGTTTTCATAAACTAATAACATTGAGGCGGTTGCGTATTATTTTTTTCTGTATTTGAAACCCAACCTGTGATTCCACGTGGTGAGGCTTTTTACTTAAATACTGACTGACAAGTTCAGGTCTCTCTTAATGGGGTGTGTGTGTGTATGTGTGTGTGTGTGTGTGTGTGTGTGTGTGTGTGTGTGTGTGTTGTTTCCTTGATTATCAAAATCTGAATAATGTATTTTAGTATGTTACATAAAATGATGTAAAACTTGTATGTGATTTGTATAAAACCTACATAGTTCAAATCCTGCCTAAACTAGTTATAAAATCTAACACTGTATATATGCTGCTTACATAATGTTGCATTATTCAGGGAAAAATGATGAGATGAGAAAAAATTGGCCATCTTCAGTACAAACACGTATTTTTCAAAATTTCCACTACACAGATGGATGTATAGGGAACCCTCAGATATAGGTCCACCTGTATTCTAAAATATTACACTGTTAATCTTTAACTTTAATTTTTTATAGGGTTTGTGAACATTTTCCCACACCTTTTGGAAAGAACTATTACTCTAAAAATTACTCGTTTCTTCTCTGGGGTCCACTGATAAGAGATTTTATGGATTCTTTACGCAGGAATATTCTTCCTCCTTCTTGCTATTTTATCCACATCTTGTATGTTTTCTAGTTTATACTTTATTTCTTTTCAATACTGATCATGTCTGGAATATAGACATTTTACTTAATAAAATATGAAGCAATATTGTTGGTAGTGCTTTACTAGCTACCTTGTATCTGTCATTTTCTGTGAAAATGTGTCCGTTGGGGCAATGCATTTAGTGAGGCTGGCGTGGGGAGGGATTGCCAAGGCACGAGGCACACCCACGAATAGGGCCCAGACACTGTGTTGGCCACAAAGGTCAGCACGGGCAGTGAGACAGATGCAGTTTGGTAGCAATAAGTAGGTACAATAAGTAGGGAGAGGAAAAAAAAAAGTAGGGGCCAGGGAGATGGCTCAGTGGAATAAGTGCTTCCCCAGCAAGCACAAGGGCCTGTGTTCAATCCCCGGTTCCGCAAAAAAAAAAAAAAAAAAAAAAAAAAAAAAGTAGGGAGAGGATTCCTCAAGTGAGAGAAAGAAGGAATCTTTTTTTTTTTTTAATTTTAGGGAAGGTCTACAGGGTGTTCAGGGTCTCACTACTAGATGGGACTCATAGTGACCCACCTGTTTACAGTCTCCCAAGCGCTGGGATTACAGGCACATGCCGCCACACCCAGTCTCAATTACCATCTCAGTGTGCCCCCGGGGTGGGGCCGGCAGGGCAGGCTGGGGATCGAACCCCCGGCCCCTGTGCCTGCTTCCTGGCCCTTTAATCCGCTGAGCTATTTGGTCTGCCCAGAAAGACTTTTTTTGGCTGGCTCAAGCTGCCTTAAGGGTGGTAAGGCAGGTGGAGGTGGGGATCCAACCGAGATAACCTGCACCTGACTGCATTTGCATGAGCAGGCGCTTAAACAACTGAGCCAACTGGCGGGACCCAAGAGGGGAATCTTTCTGAAGGACGTTTTTGATTGTGTTTTTGGTACCAGGGATTGAACTCGAGACCTTGCATTTGCCAGACAGGCACTTGTTCTGCTCAACTGTCACCCTGGCCTCAGGATTGGTTTCTCGTGTTGCTTACGCTTTCCCTCTGCCCAGGACTCCTGAGCTACCTGGGACTCAGCTCTCAGGCTTAGAGTCACATCTCTGTCCCTGCTTCTCAGGTTGCAGCCAGTCCTGGCTGTGGACATGGGACGGTGTGGAGAGAGCACTCCCAGGACTCCATGCCCCATCTCCTGTTTGTTCCGTTGCTCTCTTCCGGTTTTGTACGGATAGGGCTGTGAATAAGATTCTCACATAGGAAACAGGAGAATAATGATCCACAAAAATAAATTTGTGGCAAAATGCTAGTCCATGATTTTAAATGTTTTAATCCTAATATAACACTACATGGTGAATCAGTATCCTCATCCCATTACAGAAAAGTTTGAATCAAAAGAAATGTAAAATCTCTTTCAGGATTAGTCACAGAGAGGGAGAGCTAGAATTTGAACACAGGAGTTCCAGAGTTCAAAATATTAGTATTTCATATTCTTTCTAGTGACTTCAAAACACTTTATTCAGTGATGAAAGCTCAGGTCGAGCTATGAAAAATGAAAAAAAAATAAAAGAAAATCTCTTGTGTTTTTCCTGTGAGGATTAACTTGCAAGCGCCTCCAGAGGTCCCCGTAAGCCCCAGCAGAGTGAGAAGGCCAATACCAGCCCGAGTCTCTTGCTGGAGGGGCGCGGGGAGGAAGCCAGCCAAGCTTGCTCTGTCTTTCTGACTGTTTCTCTCTGCCTTACCCCCCAGTTGAGCCCAAGGTGACCGTGTACCCCATGAAGACCCTCCTGCCCCACCACAACCTCTTGCTCTGCTCTGTGAGCGGCTTCTACCCAGGCCATGTTGAAGTCAGATGGTTCCGGAACGGCCAGGAGGAGGCGGCTGGGGTGGTGTCCACAGGCCTGATCCAGAACGGAGACTGGACCTTCCAGACCCTGGTCATGCTGGAAGCTGTTCCTCAGAGCGGAGAGGTCTATGCCTGCCAGGTGGAGCACGCGAGCTGGAGCAGCCCTGTCACCATGGAGTGGAGTGAGTGGGAAACCCTGACCTCAGACATTCCCCTGCTACCCTCATGAGGTCTTGCCTTATCCCTGGGTGTCAGGTTCCCCCTTTCTCTAGAAAAATATTCATTTGCTCTATTTTCTTATCTACTTTTGGATAATTCATGCCAATGGAGAGAGTTAGTTTCTACCAATACCTATACACCGTCAGCACACGACTATGCCTATCAAGAACAGAAGTGTCCAGTTTCGACCCTTCTCACGCTATCCCTGCTCATGGTCATCCACTGGCTGATCTGCAGACACTGATCTCTGGGCTGAGTGTTTCTCTGAGGTCCCTGCTGCAGGCTGTTCTCTGCGGTCTGGGAGGAGGAGTGACGCAGTCCTCCTTGCAGGAGGGAGGTCCACCCTGAGCTCTGCTTCCCATGAGCTCTGTGGTCCTAGATGGCCACTCATCCCCGCTGAGCTCCAGGCACTGCACACGACCAGGGATGCTGCAAGGCTGTGAGGCTCCCATGAATTCAGTCTGTGAGCTTCACAGCTACTCACTGCAATTTTTGATTTTTTTTTTCCCAGACACGGTCCAATTCTAGTTTTTAAGGGAAGACATCTTTCCTCTAGTCTTAAATTTCAAAATTTCAGGGTCTCCGTGAGTGAATTGGGATTTGGATTTGGGATTTAAATAAATCTCTAAACCTGGCATCTTCCCTCAGGGGCCCAGTCAGGATCTGCACAGAGCAAGGTGCTGAGTGGAGTCGGGGGCTTCGTGCTGGGGCTGCTCTTCCTCGGCTCGGGGCTGTTCATCTACTTCAGGAGCCAGAAGGGTGAGAGGCCTCCTGCTGGCTAAGACTCTGTACAGCCTTTTCTGTGGGAAGAGATAGTGTCTCACTCAGGATCGTTCTCAATGTGTTGGTGTCTGAATATGAAACCTCTTATTCCTCAGAATACCTCGCATTTTGTGAGCATTCAGAAAGCAACTGTTTATGAGTCTTTTGTAGAAAGCTAGTGGATATGGCCTACTCAGGCCGGGGAAGGGAGAATTAGTTTTGAAATAGTGAATGGAGAGCCGTAGGGAAGGGAGGTAGAGCCATTGAATGGGTGTTTATGAAACATGTGCACCTTGGTCAAATTCTCTGTTTGTGCACCCCTGTCTATCCTGGATGGCAGGGCAGAGGTGTCAGGGAAATCTCCGGTGGCAGATCTGACCCTGGGGACACTGATTTTGGGGAGAGATTTTCATTCGTGTCTTTAAAGTGTCCATTTCCCCTCTCACTTCCAGGACACTCTGGAGTTCAACCAACAGGTAATGTCCCTGAATCTTCTCTCACAGACAGATTTACTCTCACTACCAGGGATGGTAGATGTGAGGAGATGTGAAACAGAGCCAATGTGGAAAATCTGGGTGCAGCTTCCTGATCAAGCAGTTTACAAGGAAACTGCCTTACACTACTGAATAAAACCCTGAGCTCTGAGGCAACATGCGCTCAGAGAGACTGAAGAGTGTTTCACTTTGCCTAGGTGGCCTTGAGAGGACCTGGGCGGGGAGAGAAGCTCATTCAGAGTGAGTTCTAGAAACCCTGCTGTCCTCTGTCCTTCCAGGACTCCTGAGCTGAAGAGATGGTGACTGCCCTGAAGGAAGGAACCATGCCCCTGCTTCTCCATGTGTTCTCCACGTCATCACAGGCAGCCTGCTTGGCTCTTGTTCTCCCACAGAGAGAAGCTCTCCTGGTACCCTGGACCATAGAGGTCGTGTTTTCCCTGATGGCTGCCTCCGCCCGTGGGCCCCACCTGGAAGCTCAGGCAGACGACAGGGCCTTCCCTTTGTTCCCAGCCAGCCCCTGTGCTCAGTATTCTCCTCCTCACTGCTTCTGCTGTCATCTTGGGGAACACCACCTTGTTATTTTTTTTAAATAAACTTGGAGAAAAACAATCATCTGCTTCCTACAGTTTTGAAGACGATGTACAGAAAAGAGAAGAGGAGAACAATTGAATGCTCCTCTGGTTTTTATTTAAGTATGACAAGTCTTTGAGGGGATGCACACGGGAACTAGGTTGAACAAGCCATTTCCCAGAGTAGACATATAAAAACATTCCACTCTACAACATGAACATACATGATCTTTCCCCTGGATCTTAGGCTAAAGGCCAAGAAGTGATTATACAATGTTTCCTTGTCATTTAAATTGTGTGTTATAGTTAGATTGGAAAGTAAACTTACAATAATTGAAACAGAATTGATGAGAATATTATGTCAAGAAGGGAACTGGAAAAATAAAATTCCTTGCTCCCAATACCGTGTACTACTGCAAATCAGAATGTAGCTCTCTGTTCACTGACTTCGTGACATACTATTACAGAGGAGGTAGATGTCTGGCCACGGATGTCTAACACATACATGGTCTAGGAGGAAAAGGAAAGTTTAGTGGTTCTGTTCCATTCAAACAGTGAGTCAGATTCATAGATAAGGAAAATAAAAAGTAAAAACTCAAATTGGCCTTTAAGTCTTTTAAACAGATTTTATTCATTGTTATAAATAATTATTGTTTTGTACAAAATTGAAAATACAAAATTATGCCTACATTAATTTACCTGATAAATTATGTCCGAAGTCTGATTTTCCTGTGTAAATTTCATGTGTGGGTACAGATGTCCTTTCTGTTATAACACGTTTGGCAACTTTTCTGCGACTTTGTTCCCCCAGAAGAAGAAATTATTTATCTCAATGTATTTGAGAACTATGGTATGATGCTGCAAAGTAGAATTAAAACAGATGACTAACATTTCAACCAAGATGCATTACTCATTGTCGAACTGAAAATCAGGTGCAATTGTCCTAATAGTTCATTAACTTTCTATGGCAGGCTGATGCAGGATCTTTTGGGGTTTCTGGAGGGCTGCTCACTTCAGGAGGTGGGTGACACCTGCGATGCCCACGTAATTTCACACTTCATCCCTTGCCATCCACAGCTTGCTCACTGTCCTGAGATGGCAAAAGGGCAGCTGTGGCACCCTTAGGTTGCATGGCTGCTCAAAACAGTTTATACTGGCAGGAAGGGGAAGCCTTTCTTTGGGGTGCTTCTGTAGGGGGAAAAGACAAACAAAATGAAGCAAACAGAACAAAACAAAGCAACCTTGCAAACATAGCTGACACAGTTCACAAAACTCAAGTTGTACAGTCAGCCCAGGTACCAATCAGTGGATGAAGACATAAAGACAGTGTGTCCCCTATATGCAGACACAGTGCTCTTCTGTCATAAAGAAGGACAAAATCATATTTATAGGCAAATAAATGGAAATGGAAATGATTGTGTTAAATAAAATAAACTGGGTTCAGAATGACAATGTGGAATTCAGAATGACAAGTGGAATTTTGGAAAAAGCAAAAATAATGCAAAACTTGGAGGAGACTATTGGAACGTGAGAGGGAATCAGAAGCAAAGGAAAGGAGTGGGCGTGAAAGATTCATGAGATGGATGTGATCGGAATATGTTACACTCATGTACATGGGACATTGATACCCAACATTCTGTATAATGTGTATAATAAAAAGGCACTAAGAATGCACACACACACACACACACACACACACACACACACACACATTAGTTGTCCTAAGGTTTAGAGTGCAGTTGTCCATCATAGCCAAGAGCCTTGAAGCAGTCCAAATGTCCATCACCAGGAAAATGCAACATGCTGAGCTCATGAAATGCCATGTCATTCCACAATACTATGGCATGAACCAACAAAAACAACTAAAATTACAAAAACATCATACACTGCAAGGTGACGTTTAGGTGCTGTGTGTGGTACAATGAGCGTGAGTGGGCTGTGTGGATACCCAGTGCCTCCACTTCAGAAATTTCCACGCTAGATAAATTCTCACATATTTGGGCAGGATGAAAGATAAATGGTATAAGGTAAGGGAAAAATATGGCAAATTATGGAACAGGGAGATGAAAAATGGTAACTTTTCACAGAATAATGCACAGAACTTCAAATGGTTTAACTGAGAAAATAAACATAGATTAGAACAAAAATCATAAGCAAATGTTTCAAAGTTGTCCTTTACAGTGCATTAATGTTCCATTATGTACAGCCACCACATTTCCTTTGTCAGAACATCTACCGAGAGTACCAACAGTGCTTCCAGGATGTAGCTGTTACGAGATGGTCTGCAATGAGCATTGGCGTGCATAGATCATTGCAGTAGAAGGTCCTAATCTCATTGGGGAACATACCTACAAGTAGGACAACTGCATCATATGCATTTCTAATGTTATCTCTTTGAGAACTCTTCCTATTGATTTTTAATAGCTGCACCAGTTTAAGTCCCACCAAAATATAGGAGGATTCCTCTTTCCCCACTTCCTCCACAGCATTTGTTATTTGCTAATTTTGTAATCGCTGCCACTCTTTCCGGTGTGAGATGGAATCTTAGTGCTTCAATTTGCATATTTGTAATGGCCAGAGATGCTGAACACAAGTTCACACACTTGTTCACCATTTGTACTTCTTCCGGGAAATTTTGGTTCATTTCACTTACCTAATTCTTTGTTTGGACTTTCTTTTTTTCCCCATAATTTTATTGAAAAATAAATAACAATGAGACTGTTTCAAATCAAATTGGGAGGGCAGTTTCAATAATTAACACATTGCATACTACATTCCCAGTAGTTATTTATTGTACAGTATGCAGATATGATATCCTATTTACAAACACTATTAGAACAAAACCCTCTATTCCTTAAATTAAGAGAATGTAGCTATATATCTATCCTAACCATTTTGAATACACAGACACAAAATGGTCATTCATCTATATCCCCTTTTTTTGTTTAGTTCCATCATTTAAATATTATAGGTGTGTGAACTCAGTAAAATATTCCAAAATAGTCCAGTAGTGCTTAATAGTATTGGGTCTTCCACTTGACTGGCAATGTCAGAAGTTGTTGACCTGAGTCCCCTACAGTTCGACATAACAATATGGCTTTATTTTGTGTACTTCATTTTTATGCTTTTCTGCTGGATGGTTAAGACCAAGGTAAAGCAAGACCTATATAACAAAAATTGTAGCTTTTGGATCTGATAAGGTCAGTCAAATCCCCTCGGGCTTTATCCTGGGACCCTGTACCTCAGATTGTAGATCCTTTGTCAGTGTCAGTCATGAGATGAGTCACGGCCATTGCTTGGCCAACTTGCTTTCTGTGAAAGCCTGAGAGAATGTTTTCTCTCCATGTGATTCTCCTTAGGCACGCTCTACATCATCAATCACTTTCCTCTTTGGCCCCATAATCTCCTTGATCAGAAAATTTGGGACACAACTGAGTTACATGATGTTACAGTACAAGTTCTCATATGTCCTGAGTCTTAATTGACCTTGGAAGGCTAGGGACAAAATGTTGGCTCTCCTTGAGGCCCTTCTTTTTCTCCAATTTTTGGTCTGAAAATTTAGGTTGTTAACCCTCCAGAAAAGGAGCTTATTGTTATTACCATACAACCTCGGCTGTTGAGCTTAACCTCACTATCTGTCTGAATATCAAACATCTTAGGCATTATACGGAACAGGTATTCTTCATCAAATATTGATAGGTTAAACTTTAAGTCCCTTCAGAATATGACAAAAAAATTAAAATATATTTTAAAAATGGGAATAAAGAATTATATATGTTTACACATAAGTCCAGAAATCTAACCATATACAACATTGTTGCAGGACAGTCCCACAACACTCCTTTTCCTGTCTCCTGCCTTCATTCACCACCTCCTTCCTTTTTAAACAATAATCTACCTGAGAGACAGCACGGCAGCAACTGGCATGTCATGATAAGTGGCACGTATTCAGAAGGCCAGAATGACAAGCACTCCAAGTATGAATCTACTATTATAAATTGCCATCTTCAGTGCAGTTGCTTAGTTCACAGGTGTCAGCATGTATAGGTAGGGTGAGAATCTTTCCAATTAACTTCTAGATTCAAAAAAATCTTCTGATGATTCTCAGGATCATTGCCTTACCTGTCTTGTACATATAACTAAATGGTTTGCTTCTGCCATATTTCCTAGCTGTACTCCTTGCTCTCTCTTCATTGTCTAGACCTCAGGTTCTTGCTTTCCTTTTACTTATATTATACCTTTCTATTTGTATTTCTTCTTTGAGTTCTTATACTAGGGAAACTATATGATATTTGCACATGTGTGTCTGGTTTATTTCACTTGTGAGTATACCTTCAAGTGGCATCCACTTAAATATAAAGGCTTTTGAGTTTATCGATCTTTATACCTGAGTAATACTCCATTGTATTACAATACCACATCTTTTTCATCCATTCCTCAAGTGATGGGCATCTTGGTTGTTTCCAAGATTTGGCTATCACAAATTGTGCTGCTATAAACATAGGCACACATATATCACTATAATATGATGTTTTCAGATCCTCCGGGAAAATTCCCAGTAGAGGAATAGCTGGTTTAAATGAGATTTCCAGTCCTAGTTTCCTAAGGAGTCTCCACACTGATTTCCATAATGGTTGCAGCAGTCTACATTCCCACCAGCAGTGGAGAAGGATTCCTTTTTCCCCACAGCCTCTCCAACATTTGTTGTTGGGTGATTTCTTTATGATAAACATTCTTTGTGGGGTGAGATGATATCTCAATGTTGCTTTCACTTGCAATTCATCGATGGCTAGTGATGTGGAGCATTTTTTCATATATTTATTCACTTCTTTAATTTCATCCTCTGAGAAGTGTGTATTCATCTCGGATGCTGATTTCTGTACTAGTTCTTGAAATTTTGGGGCCCTAGTGTTTTTTAGTTCTTTTAAAATTCTAGAGAGTAGACTTTTTCTGAGTACTTGTTAATCAAGATTTTTTGGAAATTTGTGGGTTGTATTTTCACTTTGTTGGTAATTTCTTTTGACTTGAAAAAACTTCTCA